AATATTTGTCCTTTTGTGACTGACTTATTTCGCTCAGCATAATGTCCTCCAAGTTCATCCACGTTATGCGGTGTTTTGCAGATTCTACATTATTCTTTCCAGCTACCACTATTAATCACTCAGAAAAGGATCAGTACAAGAGATTCTGGATAGAGCGGGAGAACAATGTGGAACAAAACTCAAAATCATTAAAAAACACCAGGTTTACTGGTCTGAGAGAGCTTGGTGAGACCCCTGAGACTATGGCCCCCAATTACCCCTCAGGTCTGGAACTGAACTCACTTCCATGGCTTCCAACCAAACAATAGACAGGCACATAGGGTGAACATTTACACTGGGTAGATATACTCCTTAGAATGATCAGTCATGTAGAACAGAAGGCAGTATTTGCACAGGAGATAGCTCAGGGGACAGAAATGCATAGGAAAGGACATAGAGAAGAGGTAACTACAGAGAGGAAGTGGGAAGACAGCGGTTACATTGTGGGGATTGCAGTCAATGTTATGAAACAAAATGTGTAAGAACTGCTATACGGAAAGTGAATTTGCTCTGTAAACTTTCACCCGAATCACAATAATTTTTTTTTTTTAATTGTTATTTGGGTGAAAGTTTATAGAGCAAATTCACTTTCCATACAGCAGTTCACATACACATTGTCTCATGATATTGACCACAATTTACCCCAATGCAACAGCTCCCCTCCCACTTCCTCCCGATAGTTACCTCTTCCTTGTGTCCATCCCTCCATGCATTCCTGCCCCCTGAACTGTCCCCCTGTGCATACACAGCCCTTCTTTCTCCCATGATTGTTCTCTCCAAGGGCTGTATCTACCTCAGGTAAACGTTCAACTCATATGCTTGTCTTTTGTTTGGCTGGAGCCATAGGTGTAGGTTCAATTCCAGACCTGAAGGGCAGCTAGGGGCCACAGTCTCAGGAGTTCCACCAGGCTCTATCAGAATAGTAAACCTGGTCTCCTTTTTTTTCCAAATGATTTTGAGTTTTGTTCCACATTGTTCTCCCTCTCTATCCAGGATCTCCTATACAGAACCTCCTCCAAGTGTTTGACAGAGGTAGCCAGGCACCATCTAGTTCTTCTGGTCTCATAGTCATATAGGCTAAGGATCACATGATGTACCAGTTGTGAGGACTAATTGTTTCTATGAATCTTTGGTTAATAATTTATTTTCTTTAAAATAAAAATTTACATGGCAAAATACATCGTGAATATAGTCAAAAGGCAACTGAGAAAACTACAGTGTTCCCATACAATAAGGAAAACTCCCAGAACTCAAAAGAAAAATTGACAAAGAGCATAAACAGGAAGTTCACTGAAAAGAAAACAAAAATGGCTTTAAGCAGTACATAAGAAAAGACACTCAAAATCACTCACAATAAAAGAAATACAAATTAAACTATAAGAACCATCTTTCACCTGTCGGTCTGGAAAAAATACAAAGCTTAAAAACATATCACGTACTTTTACTCCTGCATATAATATGGTACAACCACTGCATAAAATTCTTTAGCAATATTGATACATATAAAAAATGCACATTCTTTTTGATTCAGCATTTCCATTTCTAGGAATTTATTCAACAGATAAATGGTATGCTGACACATGAATGAAGATATTTATTGCAGCATTGCTTGTAATATCAAGGAAACAACCTAAACGATTACCTATACTGACCAATTAATAAGCTACAGAACATCCATACAACAGAATACTATGATCTCTACCTTGGAGCAATGTTGAGGTATCTAGAGTTGTGAATGAATTGTTTGTTTTTTAAAATTAGGTGTCATGAAAAATCAAAACATTGAACAACATTTTGATAGATATTCAAGTATATCTCTATTTTCATCATTTGAACTCTTACATAAATTATATACAAAAACAATGCTCAGCAACTGAAGGATGCAGTCACTGAAAACACATTTACAGACAATTTTTAAGAGCCAAAAATAGCAAGAAAATGCAAGTGACCATCTAGATATAACGATGGGTCTCTCCTCATCCAGAGCAAAGAAGAATGAAGAAAACCAAAGATGCATGGAAACAATTAGTGCAAGTGACTGGTACACCATGTGATCCTCAGCCTATATGACTATGAGACCAGAAGAACTAGATAGTGCTCAGCTACCACAGTTAACCACTCAGAGGGAGATCTATGTAGGAGATCCTGGATAGAGTGGGAGAACTGTGTGAAACAAAACCCAAAATCATTTTTTTAAAAAAAAGGTGGGAGGACCAGGTTTGCTGATCTGATAGAGCCTGATGGAACCACTAAGATTATTGCCCCTAGCTGCCCTTCAGGTCTGGAATTGAATCTACTCCATAGGAGTGGCTTCCAGCCAAACAAAAGACAGGCAGATGAGGTGAACATTTACATTAGGCAGATACACGCCTTGGAGAGATCAATCACAGGAGAAGAGAAGGGTTGTTTATGCACAGGGAGACAGCTCAGGGGG